TTTAATTCAAATGGTTATACAGATAGTATGAGAGCTTAACTACATCGTCTAGTAAAGAAAGACATTCTATCTCTTTATATATATTTTTTATAATTAAAATAATTTCGTTGTATGCAAAAGCAGACTTCGGCATCTTTTAGTATTTTGGATTTCCTAACCAAGAGACTTGTGCTAAAATAAAACAAAATTATATCAATCGATAGAACATTTCACGCTTTACCAGATTATAAAAAAAAGATTTTTTTCTAGGATCAATCTTCATTTTTAAAACTTGACTTTAATGAGAATAACCGAAAAATACGAAAAAATAAAATTCTTCAAATTCCATCATTGCTTGTGTTTCAAGACAGTTAAAAGCTGGAAGAGCCCTGATCTTAAAGAAAATTCGATGCTCTACAATCCTGGCGTAAAAGATTCAAAATTGAATAAAGAAACAAAAGGAGATCATTTTTTAGTAGTCCATCAAAGTTTGAAATTTAAAATTTTTTTTTTCTTGGTTTTCTGTTTCTTTCACCAATTTAATCAAAAAGGACACAAAAAATATTTCACAAATTTCATAAAAAATCTCACGTAAAATGACTTCCTTTTGCTTTCAGACATTTTTCAATACGTTCAGGCATACCATCTACTAATGCTTGACACAATGTAATTGATATTTCATCCCATTCTTCTTGTAAACGTTTTTGTAATTCTTCTTTAGTATTAATTGATTTTAATGCTAATCGTTTGTGGATAATGCCCCATATTTCTTCAATAACATTTAAGTCTGGACTGTTGGGAGGCCATTCCAGCATATTAATTTTCAATTTTCTAATTTTTTCCTTCACCATATTACTAGTATGCCAAGGTGCTAAATCACATTGATATGTGTATTTTTTTCTTTTGATAATCGTTTAATTAATGGAATTAACTGATTCTTTAAAACTTCACAATATTTTGTTGAATCCATATTATCAGAATAAGCCAATAATGATGTTTTACTATAGCCACAAATGGCTCC